TTTGGTTTTGGTTATTTTAAGTTCTGGACTGCAGATTCAAACATCTCAATCACCTGTGGGTCTGCTATTGTCTGCTTTCCTTCTTGATCACACTTTCTTGTTCTTCTGGTGGCTCATAATTTTGACTACAAACTGGACTTTGTGTATAAAATAATGTAGATACTGAAGTCAGTGTTATTTTTCCCCTTTCCACTGTTAGACAAATAGGGTGAGGTAGTGAGCTGGGTTGGGGTCAGATTGCAGTTTTAGTTCAGAATCAGTCCACCTCTGACTTTAAATATCTCGAGGCTGAGATTGCTATGTGTATTTGTCACAGGTGTTTGCCCCACCATGCCTTTGTTTCCTCAGTACTACAAGACTGCAGAAGATTTTCTTCCACCTTTCTGGCCCAGCCTCCCCATGCTGCCCTGGTATTTAGCAAATGTCTCCTAGAGAAAACTATCTACATTTTGGGCTACTCTATACCCCATCTCTTATGTTACCCTATGTGGATATTTTATGTTCTGTTGATTTCTCTTTCCCATTAGAGTTGTTGTACCCATGGCAAGCCCAATCATCAGCCTGTGTGCAGGCTTGGAAAATGCTCCTAGGGAAGCAAATGGCTAGTGATCTCAACTCAATGGAAAGGGTTGTTTCCTCACTGGAACCCTAGATTTTCTAGTCTTCTTTCCTTTCCCTGTGGTCTGATTGTCTTTTAAAAGAAACCCTTTGTTTCTCTGTATTTTATCCCTCTCTCTCTTACCCTGTTTGTCACAGCAAAGTGATGGTCTGCCACCATCTACTACATGCCACCTGGAAGCAGAAGTCTCCTTCAGATGTGTGTGAATGTGCAGAGAAACTGTACAGCCTCCTTTTATAATCTCTTTCATCATTCAGCAAAAATAAACCCTTATTTTACAAATCCAGCAACAACATTTTTCCCTTTGTTCTTTCCAGTCTGGAACAGATGTCTGTGTTCTCTTTTAAAATCAGCACAACCTGTTAATGTTCCTTTAAAGAGATACTGGACTCCATCTCCCAAAAAGGCTTCCACTGTACTATCCTTGCATACACCAAGGTACAGGGGCTCAAGATTCCTGCCGGATGGCTGGAGTCCTTAGACTGAAGGCAATAATGCTCTCCTTGACCTTCCTGCTGGCCAGCTTTGACTGAGCATACAAAGTCTGCAGAAGCGGCCAGGGCACTGAGAGACTCTCACTTGGAATGTCTTAGGCCTCTTTGAGAACCATAAGGTACAAGTGACTTTCCTCCCAATCTTCTGCAACACTGAAAAAGTACGTTATTCTTATCCTTGTTTTATGCTTCTCCTGGCTGGCTGTACCTGTTGTTGTTATGTGCCGTCAAGTCAGACCCTACTCATAGCGACCCCTCCTTGGGTTTCCAAGGCAGTATCACTACAGAAGTAAATTGCCCCATCTTCCTTCCAAGGAGTGGCTGGTGGGTTTGAACTGCCAGCCATCTGGTTAGCAGTCAAGTGCCTTAGCCACTACACTACCAGAGCTCCCTGGCTGTACCTACTACTCACTATTTAACGACAGTCAATTTGATTACTGTGTATTCCATCTGTCAAGGTCCATGTATATAGTTGTTGTTTATGTTGTTGACAAAAGGCACTTCCAAATAAGGAAGTCACTGGTCTTGCAAAATTCTATCATGAGATCTCCAGTATCATTTCTATCACTAAGGCCAAAATTTCCAACTACTGATCCTTCTTATTCCCATCACCAATATTATCAATGTCTCTTGATTGCATGCTTGATCAACTTCAGACTATAGAAGTTGGTAAAAAATCTTTGTTTTTTTTCCTCGTTGGCATTAGTAGTTGGTGCATAAATTTAAATAGTCATATTAACTGGTCTTTTTTGGATATGATCCTATCACTGACAGCACTGTATTTCAGGATGTCTTGAAATGTTCTTTTTGACAATGAATACGATGTCATTCTTCTTTAATTGGTCCATCCCCAGCATAGTAGACCATATAATTATCCAATTCAAAATGGCCAATACCAGTCCATTTCAGCTCACTCATGCCTAGGATATGAATCTTCAAGCATTCCATTTCATTTTTGATAACTTCCAATTTTCCTTGATTCATACTTCATTCCTTCCAAAGATGTCAGTTTGAGGATTAAGGTGTACCTGACCCAATCCAAGATATTCTCAATCACCTCATATGCATATGATGGAAAATGACTAAGGAAGACTAAAGAAGAATTGATACCTTTGAATTGTGGTGTTGGGGAAGAATACTGAAAATACCATGGACTGCCAGAAGAATGAACAGCCAGAATTCTTCTTATAAGAGAGGATGGTGAGCTTTGTCTCTGTTACTTTGGGTGTGTTTTCAGGCAGGACCAGTCCTTGGAGAAGAACATCATGCTTGTTATAGTAGGTCAGTGAAAAAGAGGAAGATCCTCAACAAGGTGGATTGACACAGTGACTGCAACGATGGGCTCAAACACAGAAAAGATTGTGAGGATGGCTTAGGATGGGGCTGTGTTTCACTCTGTTGTACACAGAGTCACTATGAGTCAGAATCAACGTGACAGCATGTAAGAACATTTAATGACACTTTTACTCTATCTTACCTCCCTCACTTTCTTCTCTCCTTTTATATTCTTTCTTGTTTACAGACTCTTTCTCCTATTACTTCTTAGCTTTTCTGAGAAACAAATGCCTTTTACAGACAACACTGGCCAAGAGGAGGGCACTTTTCCTTCTATGTAGCTGACCAGACAGTCAGAATGTACCATGTAAAATGATCAGTACTTTGGTTCCTCTCAGTTGTGTCTGTCTGCCAGTAGTCACTAAAAGGCTGCTTTTTTTTATTGCCAAAGCATAATAATAATTTATTTTTTTCTATCTAGTTCAACATTCAAAACTACCTAGAAGGCAGAGGCTTAGAAAGGACAAATCTCAGAAAGCCTAATCTTTAATCCTCTGATATCACAATAATAAATGCAAATACTCAAGGTATGGTTTAGTAATCAAGTTGTATTAAGAAATAGGCATGTTCCACTTTGTCCTCTATACCTCAGTTAGTGTTAACAGTGGGGGGGTATAGAGGAGATGGAGAGGCTGCCCTTCTGGCATACTCTTAGCTACACATGGAAATAGAAGCCCTGTTAAATAGTAAAGACCAAAGTCCAACATTAAGACAGACAAAGAGAAATACAGTAATACTGTTCTTACATAAAATAAGAAAAGCATTCAATCATTTTCTTTTTAACAGCCTGTGGTACAGATTTGCTAGATAACACCACACAAATCTTAGAAATCTAGAACACAGCCTGGAGCCCTTTCAGGATCCCCTCCCTGGATAGGCAGGCTGTGGCCTTTTGGTCAGAAACCATATGCAATGACCCACTTTCTTCTTAAAGAAACTTGGAATCATTTACTTTTTCCTTTATGTTGAAGCAATGATTGCCATCCTTATTTTTCTATATTTGAGAGGGTTGACAGCAATAAAATTCTAAAAACACTGACCAATAAGCAAGGGAGTTCTGGTAGCATAGTGTCTAAGGTACTTGACTGCTAACTAGAAGGCTGGCAGTCCAAACCCACCAGCCAGTTCTCGGAAGGAAAGTTGGGCAATCTACTTCTGTAGTGATACCACCCTGGAAACCCAAGGAGGGGTCACTATGAGTGGGGTCTGACTTAATGGCACATAACAACAACAAGCAAAGTCAACTAGAAGGCACTGATAGGCCTTCTCAATCTGGGATTTTTTTTTTTTTCCCAATTGCAGCCCTCTAGATTCTAGCTGCCCTTCTATTGTCTTGTGGCTCTGGATGTCCACTAGAGCCTACAAAGACACCTGGTGGGCACTTCAGTCATTAATTCATTACTGAGTTTATGCCACTCACTATCCAGTTTACTTGGCATGTCCAGTTCAATGTATTGGCCCAGCCCACTTATTACTTGTACTCCCTTTCACACACCAAAGTATCCCAGTTTGGACAGTGAATTAATTGTATGGTTTTTCCCAGGTGTGTGCATACTGTGTGCTAAGCAAATACCAAGAGGAGAAAGCCCACCATCCAGGAGCTTACAGTCTTTAATGATAAATCTATAATCTTTAGTTGGCCTAAACTGGTCTCTCAGGAGTACATCAAAGGGAAAGAGTGGTCCGGCACGCTGGGGAATGCTTGGAGGAGGTGGTCTCTGGAGGTAAATGGGAACTAAACAGGCAGAGAAGAAGGACATTCTAATCTTAGAGGACAGCATGAACAACATGGGGACTCGGGGGTATACAGGGTGGTGAACACTGTAGGGACAAATAAAAACAAAGTTAGGGAGACAGCATAGGACCAGACTGCAGAGGGCCTCAAATGGCAGCATGAACGGTCTGGGCTTTATCCTGTAGACAGTGAGGATGCTGAGGACAAGACCAGGGAAACACAAGTCAACATTCTCAGATAAAAGATGCAGTGATATATAAAGCAGATCTGGAAACTCTCACCTGTCATTATCACTTTGAAGTTTTATCATAATTTCTGCCTTTGCATATTTAAGATAGGCAAAAAGTGGTAGTGCTTTAATCCAAGAGTTGGCAAACTTTTTTGCAAAAGGTCAGATAATAAATGTTTTGCGCTTTAAAGGTCATATAGTGTCTATTCAACAACGCCATCATAGCACCAAAGCAGTCATAGATGATATACAAATAAGTATGGTTATGTTCCAATAAAGCTTTATTTACAAAAAGAGTCAGCAGGCCAAATTTGGCATTCGGGCCATAGTTTACTGACCCCCACTTCAATCTGTGAAAATTCGTTCAAAACAGTTCCAAACAATTTTGTTTGGATTTGGGATGAAGCTCTTGAAAATGGAAGGTATGAGTAAAGGAAAGTGTGTGATGACATCAGCCCTGAAAAGTCCTGGGGAGCTGATAGCCCTTCATAGCTCTTACTGGACACAGTATTCTGTACCCTGTGATGGAGACTAGACTCTCTTGGAGGACAACATGAGAAGACAAGCCCCGCCCTGGCCAGCAGTTACCTCGGCTTGCTCGGCTGCGTGTGCGGACCCCCAGCACAGGCGTGGCATCCTCCGTGGCGGGGGATGAGGTTTTCAGTACAGCCTTCATGTTCTCATGCTCAGCTGCATCCTCAGCATAGCTCAGACCCTGTGGTTGGCTTGAAGGTGCCGGAGAACTGCCCAAGAACTTGCCAGACTGCAAAAACAAGCTGGAGTTAGAATGTGCAGTAGAAGCTCCCAGAAAGCTAACTCAAGCTTATCAAACTTTTAGTTTGGGAACATCTTCTGTCTCTGCCTTTTTTGTTTTGATGCATTCTCCACATATATCAGTTAGTAGTCACTGAGGTTAATTAACTGAGGACAAACCATCTGCATATGGAGGAAGTTCTCTTATTAGAAAGAAAAGCTTCTGGTCCCAGAAGGATCATCACCCCATCCTCTCTCTCTGGCTCACTCAGACTGCCTCAGTGAGTATCTGCTGGTATGACTGACATCAATCCCAGGAAGAACTCAAGGATCAAATTTGTTCCTAACGAAAGCCTTGACATGAGAAGGCAAGGGCAACAGAATTGAAATATGCCTTTAATGAAATGTATTGAGCTGTTTTTTTTCTTCTTAATTTTGTGCAAGGAAGCAACTAAAGTGTTCTTAAAGGTCATCAATGCTGCTGCTGATAGCATTTTAAAAGTGAGATGAAATCACAGCATCATATGATGTTAAGAGCTGGAAGAGATTTCCTCAGATCTAGTTGCACCTCATTTTAGAGAGAAGGAAATGGAGGCCCTAGAGATTAAGTGACTTGTCAAAAACCCTAAAGGGATTAGTGTTAGGACCTAGGTCAGAACATGACACAGAAATTCATGCTGAAACTGAGTTTGGCAATATCCACCACTTTCGATTGTGTCCAAAATTTAGTTCTTTTAGTAAGCATTACAAACACACAATGACATTCTCTAATAATAACTGAACAAAGGGCCAGGGCATATATGTTTTAAAAGAGGTATGCTAGAATTCTGGGCCATATGTACACCATGCCAAATATCTGGATGGAAAACAAAAGTCAGTTAGATTAGTGTTTGCAACAGCAGCTCCTTAGATGCCTGGCTTCCTGTTTTCCTCCAATGTCTCAGTCATGGAAGCAGAGCCCAGGACACATCTGTGACTTGCCCCATCTGCGTGGTTCCCTCCTCATTTTCTGGACCCAACCAGGCCCTACTTGGTCTCAGCACTTGTATTTGCACCCAGGTTCAGGAGGTGAAATACCTGTAAACCATCTACCACACACTCACGGATCCATGGATGGCAGGGGAGGAAAGGGGCACAGGTCAGAGGCTGCCTACCTGCTGGGGACAGCTTTTCTGTCTGGCCCCTAGCTGCTGCCCTACTTCCTCTTTGGTAGCCAAAAGACTTAGGCAGGGGGCTGGAAGGAAAATTCTTTGACCACTTTTCTGGCAGTAGAGAGACCCACCATACCTGCCACACTTGACAGGGCTACTGATTAGCCTGAGACTCAGGAATATGCCCAGCTTGGAAAATCCAGTTAGCCCTTTAGTCCTTGGCACACACAGCATGATGAGAATGCCTGGAAGTGGTTAGTGATTGCATGAAAACCAACAGGAAGATACACATGCATGGTTCAAAGCATTGAATGGTGCAGACACTTCACACTGCTTCTATTAGTTTAGATTCAACAGCCCTCATGGGAAGATCGAATGTGGCATTCACCATGTTTATAAGCAGTCATACCTCAACTTCATCCTCTTCATCAGTCTACCCGAGAAGACAGGACAGAAAAGACAGAAGGGACTCTTAGAAGGCACAGAAGTCAGCAAAGATGAGATAATTTCAGTGTCATGTCAAATTCTAAGAAACATACTAGATATACCCTCTTGATGTGGGACCTGCCAGGCCCTCCTTGTCTGGAGCTCCAAGGCCAGTCCTCAGCAGTCAGAAGGGGACTTACAGGAGACCAGGTTAGTGCCTAGGGTCATTTTCTCTCTGAACATTATCTGATGTTGATAAGCAGCTTACCTCCCCAACTACTTAAGACTTCACCCCCAGCTCTGTGTCCTACCACCTGGCTGGCCGTGGACTGCTGAACTGACAACCACCTCTAGTATTCAGGGCCTTAGGAAGGGGAGCGTTCTTCATTTGTCTGTCCCTCCCCATCACCTGTGGTCCCTCTCAGGTTCTGGGCCCTCCCTGCCCAGACTGCCTGCTGTGGGCTACAGGTTACCCCTCCACACACAGGCAAGAAAGCAAGATAGGTCAAGTAGAGCTACCAAGCAGAATGTTTCATGTTATTCTCTTCTCAAAAATATGGAATTGAGCTCTTTTTAAATTTCACGCATTCCCCAGGATAGGCATCTGACTATCACGTACTATACTTTACCACTAGATAAAACTTCTTTTATTTTTCACCTTTGCAGAAGCCTTTTTTTGCTTCCATTTGGTTTGATGAGAGGACCTGGATGATGGTAGGTAGTCTTTATACAGATATTCTCAGAGCAAGTTTGGTCTCTCATACAGATCTCAAAAACACAAGGAAACTTAAAATACAGAGAAAAATTTTAACTATTTCTGGTGACTGCTAACTTGGAAAGAGTGACTTATCTTCTTTGGGCAAAGTTTAAAAAACAGTTAACACTTTAAAACGTATAAATGTAAGAAATAGAACATGATGTCGTTCAACAATGAATGACTACAGAAAAATGCATAGCTCGAGGAACTGTCTACAACATAAAGAAATGACAAATACAAATGTTTAGAGATGTATGAACACTCTTAATTTACCTGGCAGCATTTGAAATAATAAAGGATTAGCATTTAGCTGCTAACCAAAAGGTCAGTGGTTCAAACTCACCAGCCGCTCCATGGGAGAAAGATGAGGCAGTGTGCTTCTGTAAAGATTTACAGCCTTGGAAACCCTATGGGACAGTTCCACTCTGTCCTACAGGGTCTTTATGAGTCAGAATCGACTTGATGGCAGTGGGTTTGGTTATTTATTTATTTTTAAAATCTGGAAATCCAGGAACAGTAAGTAATAAAATAGGATTGTCATTCAGTTTCTTTTAGATGAGATCTTTTGGTGCTTAGTATATGTGGTGGGGTTAAGTTTGTGTGTCAACTTGGCTGGGTTGAGTGGCTGGGAAACTGAATATAGTTATTCTCCATGGTGAGCTTGGTAATTAACTCAATGGTGGCATCTATTGGAGCAGCTGAGTAGCTGCTTTGGGTACATGGTTTACTTCCCGTATATAAGAAACAGCTTTGGGAACGGTCTCTAGCTTATGGCATGCTTGAACCCTGCGTGTAGCCACATCGTTCAGCAGCCTGTCATGCTCTGCCAACCTTGGGACTTTCACTGGACTTGAATTAATGGCCTACTGTGTGGTTTGGTAACATCAGGACTGTGCCATTTTATTTGTCGACCTTGGGCTTGTCAGCCTCAGCAGCCAGTAGCTGCCTGAGTGAAGAGATGCCTCTAGCTTCAATGGGCTGGGAGCAAGATGTAGAGCTGAAGCCCAAGGTCGAGGGGCTTTCACCCAGCCCCTAGAGTCTGGCACTTGGAACTCAGACTTCTAACCTCCTGAACTATAAGAGAATAAACTCCTGTTTGTTCAAGCCATACCATTTGTGGTATATTCTTGTCAGAGTGGCATTAGGTAACCAGAACAGTGTACTAGATAAACTTCTTTAAGCAACCTTAAATAAAATATCCTTTTTAAAAAAAAAAAAATAAGGATGTAAAGACATATGAATCTCTCAATTTTAAATTAAACATGCGCTCAATTTGAGTGTTTTCACTCAGGTTACAAGGCCAGGCCAGCAAATCAGACACAAGTATTTTGAGAAGTGACTAAGCTTTTGGAAGCTGTAATGATAAAATGTTTCAGTTCATCATGTTCCACACTGTCCAAACCAAATGGCATTGTGACAAGAGACAACCAACCGTCTTGCTCCAGTACCTTTTTTATCTTCGAGTTTATTTATTTAAGCAGGATGACTGGCATTTTTCAGCAATTAGGACACATCCAAGTAGTGCATGTACAAAGTCTTGTGTCCCCTCAGTCCCCCAAAACTAATTCCTCCCTGTTCACAGAAGCTGAGGCTGAGAGAGGTTGGGTCTCTCACACAGGGTCGTCAGCTGCTGTTCCCTCTGTCCTCTATGGGCAGTGCCCAAGATTTACCAGCCTGTGTTTTCACCACCCATCTGGAGGGGCTCAGTTACAGAAAGGGCCAGAGGAAAGGAACAGTGTTGCCTTGTCTATGTCCTCATTTTGTGCAGAACCAGTTCTGGCTACAAGGATAAAGAACTACAGATATGTGTCGCTTAACGTCCACGGTATGTTCTGTGAGATAGGAAGTTGTGTGATTTACATGTTGTGCGAACATGACACTAAAACTTTATGAGAACAGCTCACTTCTCTTTGCTCTTATTGTCATTGCTGCTGCCTCCGCTGCTGCTGGAGCTCCTGGCAGAGGCCGGAGAACTGGGTGCCAGCGGTAGTAGCAGCAGCTTAGGGCAGTGGTGGCAGTGGAAGAAAGAGAGCAAGCAAGTGAGGAGATACCTGCCTGTACGCCACCTGTGGTCCAGGGCTGCAAGAGTTTAAAACCATTCCAAAACCAAACCAAACTCACTGTCATTCAGTCAGATCTGACTCATAGCGACCCCTCCCTGGGCTTCTGAGGCGGTATCACTGTGGAAGTACATTGCCCAACCTTCCTTCCGAGGAGTGGCTGGTGGGATAAACAAAAGGAAAGCTACTTTCCCTTTAAAAAAAAAAAAAAAAAAGTATGGGACTGTGGACATATATGCTGTTCAATGTTGTCCCAATGGATGCTAAGTGATGCATGCATATGCCGAGTTTCTCACTGACCCTTACCTGGGAGGGCCTCCTTGTAATGAATGAAAAAGGAAGCCTTTCACAAGCTTAACAAGAGAGAAGAGAAGAGAAGAAAGGGGCACTCAGGAGCGGAGATGGGGCTGATTCTATGGCTCCATGACTCTAAACCTATTTCTTGGCTTTGTGTTTGGTGCCTTAAGTTGTGTATATGTTGTGACACCCTTGGGGTACAGCTTTGTCTTTTATTGCTCTCACATTTCCATCAGGGCCCAGCACATTGAGAGTTGAGAAAATTTGAGTCTGTACACATTGCCTTAAGTGGCAGTTTCCAAATTTTCCAGCAGATGGCAATCTTTCTACATGAACGATACCACCTTGATAATTAAAAACACGTGCTACACTAAGAATGACCCTGAAGCAGCTTATAATGTCCAGATTTTAATGGGAATTTAAATATTTTTGAATCAAAATCTAGAAACATTTACCAAAATCTAGAAACATCTGTAACTAGGAAAGTCGGATATTTTCAGAGGACAGAATTAATAAATTAGTGGGATCTTTAAAAATCTCAAGAATTTGGCAAAAAAATTTTGATGTGCTTTTATAACTATAAGCATATTGGGCTTGTATTTTTCACCCTGCAATGTGTCTCATTTCCAGAAAAATAAGTGATCCTTTTTTAAAACTTTTAAAAATAACCCTTTGAAATGAAATGTGGGCCACAGGTTGCCCAAGTGGATTCAATTTGCTTTCCAGTGACTGTCCTCCAGAAGGCTCAAGATCCCATTAAACCTATATTTCAGGGAAGGAGAAAGAAGACTCAGTTGGGTGGTAGAAAGTACCCCGTTACACAAAAATGTCTGTGCACCCCTGAGGTTCTAGAAAATCCCAAGGAAACAGGGATTTGGGTGGAAGCAGATGGTGAAGAGATTAGTTTCTAATGTTCCTTAGAATCGCCTTAAAATTGCCAATGCAATTTTTAAATTAATGTGTCCAGGTGTCTGTGTGAAGGTCACACCTTCAGGAACACATACTCTTAGGGAGCAGTAACCGTGTACCCTCCGTACAACATGAACACACATCTGAGCACGGAGAGAAGCCTCAACAAGCCCCAAAGAAATCTGCCTGACTTAGGTTCAGTTGGGATTCGCAGCCCTCAGGAAGATGCACTCCCTACAACTTCATCCCGTACTCATTCCATTCCCTGTATCAATGACAGCCCATGTGTTTCTCAAATCTATGCAGATGGATTAAATTCATGGGCATCAACTCAAACAATGAAAAAAAAAAAAAAAATCTCACTGAAGAGCCCTTCAACAGGTACCAAATATGATCTGTTATGTGTGTGTGTGTGACTTTATTCTGAGTCTATTCTAAGAAGAATAAATGGTAAGGAAGAATTCCCAGAAAAATTCTCCCTTTGCTTGCAAGTAACCTGAATGCTTACTAATGATAGATGAGACAGGTGAGACACCAATTGGGCTTTCGCAATTTGTAACAGCACATCAGAAAAAAGGACCTGCACTTTGTATCTTTGTATCTGGTATCTTCATTTGTTCTTCACCCTCTACTTACTGAGCAGCTCCCATTCAAGTATTTACTGTACCTACTGCCAGGCAGGCTCTGGACTGAGTGCTACAGATAGGGGAAGAGCCTGGAACAAGGGAGACATGTAAGAGTGCATGGTCACCCCAAGGTGCTGTGGGAAACTCCTGTTCAATCAGCATCCCTGGGATCTCTTTCCATCCTGCTATTCAACTCAAGGGACTCAGAGTCCATTAGATCATCTCATGAGCAATTACATCAACTAATTCTCTATTCAGATGCTTAGGATGGGTGGTCCATGAGTCAACTCACTGGGTATGTAGCATTGTTACATTAAAATCCCGAATCAATTCCCAAATCAGTTCTTGAATTTTAAATGTCCGAGGTTACTTATTATACAGCAGCTTTTCAAAGAAATGGTGGAGGAACAGCTTAAGATCACTTTTTAAAAGGATGTTTTTTTTTTTTTTCCCCACACCGTCAAGGGGTAAAAAAAAAAAAGGCCTAGCCTCCAAACCGTGTTAAGGTTTTAAGGTTGAACTCAATTTCAAAATATGATATAGAGAGACTGATTTTATGACACTTACATCAGTGATCATCTTCCCTCTGGTCTTATTCCTCTCTCTGTGATTGGCCCGTTTCTGTTTCTGCTGCAAAACCCTCTCCCTGGTGGTGCGATACTCCAGTGCAAATTCGCTAATGATCCTGCAGAACTTGTTTATGTTCACTTCTCGAATCGCATAAGGTGGATGGCCCATGAAGAGCAGAAAGGAGTGGAATCTGCAATGAAAAAACAGTAGCAGCAAAGATTTCTGTTTCAAGGAACAAAGAAGCAAAGCACCACTGTTGAGGCTCTACATCCACCACCCCCATTTCAACAGGATGTTGTTGTTGTTGTTAATTTCAGTAGAGTGGCTCTGACTCATGGCAAATCCACGTATAATGGCATGAAATGTTGCCCAGACCTGCATTGTCTTCACGGATGGTGGTCTGCTCAAGGCCACTGTTGTGGCCACTGTGTGCTTTGAGTGTCTTCCAACCTAAGGAGCATATCTTCCAGCATTGCATCAGGCAATATTCTTCAATAAGGTGTTCCTGCTTTAATCTGTTCTACATATGGGACTCCCACTAAGGACTTCATTTGAACCTGGGGCTCTATGGTTTAGATATTCTGGATTGGTACCACCAAACTTCCTTTCATCCATGTCACTTTTACTACTCTCTGTAGCTGCAAGGAATTCCTGCCTCATTCATCCCAGTCATCACCAATGGAGTGGCCAATAGTGTAGACAGGGATTCAAATCAAACAGATACAACCATCTTTTATGGATGGTCAGCTTATCGAGGAGAATGGGATAATCAGAGCAAAGGCACTGTAGCATTTTATCTGTTTAGGATAAAAGCTTAATGTGGTCAAACACAATAGCTTTATAAGACTTTCATAAAAATCTTCCAGTTTTATAACATTCCAAATGGAAACTGTTTAGTTTTATTTTTTTTGAAGTTCAGAATTGATTGCATACAAAACAGGAAGGGCCAAACCAACTCACATTCCCTGCCTCTCTACTTTTCAACCATGTTAAAACCATAGTGAACTTTGATTCCTTTATGAAATTTAATAAAATCTCTTATAATACGCTCCAACACAGATAGCAGCTGCAAAGTCTAGAAGATAGTACAGTTGGAGGATTTTTAGTTGAACAAACTCCAGAAGTCCTGAGTAGTGTATAGTTGTCAAACTGTTGTTAGGTGCTGTCAGGCTGGCTCTGACTCATAGCGACCCTATGTGCAAGAGAATGAAAGAATGTCCAGTCTTGTGCCAGCCCCATAATCCTTGCTATATGTGAGCCCATTGTTGCAGTCACTGTGTCAGTCCATCTCATTGAGGGCCTTCCCCTCTTTCCTTGACCCTCCACTTTACCAAGCATGATATCTTTCTCCAAGGACTGCTCCCTTCTGACAACATGACCCAAGTAGGTGAGATGAAGTCTGGCTATTCTTGCTTCCAAGGAGAATTCTGGCTACACTTCTTCTAGGACAAATTTGTTAGTTGTTGTTCTTATTCCTGTCTCATTCAACATTGAAAAAATAACCCCCTTTCCAACAGCCTGAATTAGGATCCAGTAAGTGTGATCACCAAATGACATGAGCTGGGGGAGGGCGCATGTGATAGATGAGAGAACCAGGTTTTTTTAGTTCTATATGAGTTCAAGCTAAGGGAGAGGGAGGGAGGAAGAGAGGGGAGGAGGAAGAAGAAGAAGAAGAAGAAAAAATAACCCCAAATATGAAATGTAGAAGGATTAATGAAATTACCATGCATTGGTATTTAAAAACAAAACAAGTGCCCAAGCACAGGACTAGGGTGTGGGTTTAGGAGCAGATCTCTGGGAAAAGCTTGAGGTTTAGCTGGCTCAAGCCCCAGCATCCCTGTGAGAGGCTGCTGGGAGAATTCCACTATCAGAAGTCCAGTGGGGTCTTATTTAAGATCTGCCATCAGTGACACCTGTTCTAGGCAGACCACAGCCTGCAAGTCTGCATGTTCTGCTCATCTTGTCAGCAATCTATAAGGTCCAGGATGCAGCACCTAGGCTTGGAGGCCAGGGTGGGGGACCAACAACCAGGTTCTGCGACAAAATAAAGGCAAAGAAAGTGGTGGCATGTGGTAGGAAATGCCTTTTTTTGGGGGAAGAAAGGGGTTTTAAAAAGAGTTGGAATTTAGTCTTGGGGCTGCCACCACTTATTGCCAGCACAGCCCTGGCCAGATACTGAACCCTTTTAGGCCTCAACTAGCCTCTCCCTGGGCAAAGCAAGGCCCGGCCCACCACTGCTGTGTTTCCTAGGGTCTTTTAGGATCCTGTGATTCTGAGGAAGGTTGACCCAGAGGATGGTGCCTATGGTGGGGACCAGGCCTCATTCAAGCAGGTTGCAATGCAGAAGCAACTGTGGGAGAATCCACCAGTGAGAGCTTGGAGGACAGATTTCAGATCATATACAGGAGAAGCTTTCAAGGAAGAGGAACCATGCCCCAAGAGTATGTGTTCTCTGTAGACAGAATTGTTCAAGCAGATGCATATGCAATTTGTCAGGGATCTTATAGATGGAATTCCTGATCAAGTGGGATTGTTAGTTCAAACGACCTCTGAGATTTCTTCCAACTTCAAGACTTAATGGTGTAACAATGCTGTAGTTGTGTGTGCATGTAAGAAAAACTAAGTACCCATGAAACCATTAAACGTTTTCACCAAAGGGCACTTGCTACCTACCAAGAGTTTATAGTAAAATTTTTATAAACTTAACCTTCACACGCAGGTTTACAGAATGTTTTTGACAAGCCATTATACTAATCTTTCCATAAGTTCCTTGATCCACTTACCTGTTAATTATTCGTCTATGGACAATTTTTAAAATGATAATTCGCTCTGCACAGTCTTTTAAGAACTCTGACATTCGTTGTTTTAACATTGGTTTCATTTCATGTTTTGCAATTGCCTTGAGGTGATCCCATGAAGCTTTGCATCTTCTCTCCATCTGACATAAATTATCTTGCAGTTGATCAAAGTCAACCTGAAAATCAGAGAGAGAACACTGCAAACGCGCCGAAACGACTGGACACCAACCTGAACCAGGAAACCAAACTGCCTCCAGGAAAACATGACATCAAAACCAAATTTACATCTTGGAATACAAGCATATTTACTGGCTAATAATCATTCACATGTGTATTTGTCATTATCTGGACATCAAATTATTTAGTGATAAAACTGTTCTGCAAATAAACCCAATACAATTGTCACCTTTGTTTTAGCCATATTTGGAAAGAAATTTTAGGAAAGTCTTTGGGAACTATAAATTAAAACATGACATCAAAGAACCCTGGTACACAATGAACTGAGCAGATGTCTCATAAAATTTGTCAGCACACTCTTGTTCTTCAAAGCTGATAATTCACTTAAGGTTGTAGGAATGTACTCAAGTCATACATGGCTCTGATGTGCCGGACCAGCTCATGGGCAGCCAGCTTCTCCCATGATGATCTCTTTTACACCATGTGACAAATTATTTTACCCATCCACTCATTCATTCATCCAACCAACATTCATGGAGAAACTAGCATTCCCACACTCAGAACACAAAAATATGTGCCGAAAGAGGCTCAGTTCCTGTCTTCAGGGAGGCTCATTATATAGACAGGTGAATTCCAAGCCCTGAAGGATGCACAAGACGCACTAGGCCTGTGTATGCATGTATGATATATGTGTAGGAGACCTCAGACCTCCAATCCCTCCCTCAGAAGGATAACACTGAAGGTCAAATGAACAAAACTTAAGCTTGCGATAGGTAGAATCTGTAGTACCAAACAAGATAAAGCCATGCTGAACACAGGGAAGGCCTGATGCTGAGCCTGCGGGAGGCCAGTCCAGACTGGAGTGTCCTGGAATTCTTGAGAAGGTAAGTTTAGGCAGAGCCCTGGGATTCAGGTATGCAGGGGTTCATGGGACTTGGAAGAAAATGATTTTGCCTGAACCCAAGAGAAGCTGGGGTCACACAGAGAGGGCTTCCCTTTCCCACAGTAAAAGGAGCTGGAAAAACAAAATAAAACATTGATTAGGTCTTCATGCTTAGGGTAAAATAAATGTAAATTTAGAAAAGAAGGACTGAATCCTTCAAACCTAAAGGCTACAAGAGGACCCAGATGCCCTGGGATCAACAATTCATTTCTAGAGGTCTCAAAACTCTCACTGTTGTTGAGTCGGTACTGACACATAGTGATCCCTCCTTGGGTTTCTGAGGTGGCATCTCTATGGAAATAGATTGCCCAATCTTCCTTCCGAGGAGTGGCTGGTGGATTTGAACCACCAACCTCCTGGTTAGCAGTAAAATGCCTTAGGCACTATGCCACCAGAACTCCTTCTAGAGGTCTAGGAGGCTTTTAAGCCAATTGAAGCAGAGCTGAGTCATGTAATAGATGTAATCACAACTCTTCAAGTCTGTCCTCTTTTGCGTCTGGCAGCTTTCTTGAGCCACAATTAAGTAACTTCAGTTCATTCAAATACACACGAGCGGCTTTATGTCCTCTAAGCAGTGAGTGTTTGCCACGGTGGGCACAAAGCAGGAGGGCAGACATGACAGAGACAGGGCTTCTGGAGGAGAGCAAGACCACTGTGAATGCTCATGTGGTGGCAGAGGGAAGCAAGCACACTGCCAATAGAAATCATGTGCGGAGGCTTCTGTTGAGATGTGATTTGAGGGTTGAACTTAATGTACCAACTTTTGAGGAGGCCTAGAACTCTTCCTCCACTAGCTGCCCAACTGGGTGACTCAGCCCAGCACCATGCTAAACCCTCTGTGGCACATAGGATGAGACTTCCTAACAACATCATAGCCTCAGAATCTATTACTAGTCCCGTTTCAGTGGTGAGAAACTGGTGCATAGAGAAGTAACAAGTGAGAGGCCACACAGCTGCTGAGTGGTCTGGGATTTGAACTGACTCTCTGGCTTCAGAGTCTAAGTTCTAAACCACCATGCATAAGCCTAGGTTTATCACTAAAAGATTCCTCCCCAGGAAGAGAACTGGCCCTGGCCAGTTTTGAGAAGGAAGTACTCTTGCAGACTGATCTATGTGGGCCACTTTCTACATGTAGGGAGACAAGTGGGCTGTGCCATGAAATAAAGTCAAGTCTCATTGCTTTGGGATGCTGTGGATAACTCAAGGATGCGACCAGGGCTGGGGTTGTGGAAGGAATATGGTGGAGAAAACACATAGTCTGAGCAGCGTGGGGCTTTAAAAATATGTTGCAAATTCTTTGACACTCGTCTGGTCAAAATGTAGAGCTGAATAGCTCGCCCTTTGAATGTAGACCAGCTTTGAGTGAATTGCTTCTAAGGAATGGAATGTGAAGGCAGGTCATAAAGAAGATAGAGCTTCTGCCTGGCATGCTCTCTCAATCACTCCTTCTGCGGGAGGCCACCCACATGTCCCAAGGACACCCAGGGAGCCCTGGGAGAGGCCCACGTGCAAAGGAACTAAAGCCTCCTTCTAACAGCCAGTGGGTGAGTGAGCCACCTTGGAAATAAATCCTCCAGCCCCAGTCAACAGCCTTCAGATGACTGCTGCTTCAGCCAACATCTTGAATGAAACCTCATGAGAGACCTCTAGACAGAACCACCCAGGAAACAATCAATGTCTATTACTATCTTAATTTACTCACTTTTGGGGTGATTTGTTACATAGCTGTAAATACCTAATTCAAGCAGGTAAAATGTAAGGTAGAGGAACCCATGTGGTCACCTATTTTCACTTCCAGGAGCCCTGAGGTCAGAGTCAGAGATCACTTGGCACTGTGGAGCTCTGAAATCTGGACTAACTGGTCAACATTCTGCTCTCAGGGCAGCCTGAGTCATCCCCACCTCTGCCTATTTCCACCAGCCCCTGTGGGACACAGTTTAGGTTTCACTCCTACACATAGTAGAGCCACTGTCTCCTAGGGGCTACAGAGGTGAGGTCCTAAATGTGACATGCCAGAGGATGGAGTGAATGAACTTGGGAGTGGGGTCTTTTCCAGAAGCTTATTTTATACCTGACTACACAGAAGGGCCTCCAACCCCTCAAAAGACTTTTGGGAATAAAGGCAGAACAGAGGTGGTAGATGTTCTCTTGGCCTCCTGCCATAGGCATCTGGATCAACAGTCATTGCTAGTAACTGCCAAAGTTAAGTGGATAGAAGCTATCTGTAATTTTGGCTTGTGAAGCAGGCCCTGGTAACATTTTGTTCCATTGTGTGTGGGGTGACCATGAGTTGGGGCCAGCTCAATGGCTACTACCAACAATAACAGCAAGCCAATCTTTAGACAAGTACAAGTTATTTAGGAATTAATTAGCTAACAACTAAACATCCAGTAAGCCTTTGGGGAAAGCCTGACACTAAGGGATCCAACACAGTCATTGGGGGTTGGGGTGGCCTCTGGTGTCAGAACTTCTGGACCAGGGAAGCTTCCATTATAAATAGGCTCCACCTTGGCGAAAACCAAAAACCAAACCCACTGCCATCAAGTTGATTCTGACTCATAGTGACCCCCATTAGGTTTCCGAGGCTGTAAATCTTTACAAAAGTAGATTGCCTCATCTTCCTTCTGCGGAGCAGCTGGTGGGTTTGAACTGCTGACCTTCTCCTTAGCAGCCAAATGCCTTATCCACTATGCCACCAGAGCTCCTCTTACCTGGGGGAAGGCCTTGGGAAAAAAACAAAGACCCATATGTAAAAAGGGAGCTAATTTGTTCTAGGTGGTTTTGGAAACAGGACCAAGATGAAGATGATTTGACTCAAATAGATTTTTTTTGTCAACACAACTGTCTTCTCAGGAGTCGTTTATGGGGAGTGTCAGAACAGCAAGGGGAAGACTTCCTGTTAGGGCCACTCAGAAGGACTTTCTGCCTTGGTTGGGATACTGAAGTCGTATTTGTAAAGACTTCAGAACAGTATCTGGCACAGAGAAATACAGCATACCAGAAAACCAAATCCATTGCCATCAAGTCAATTCCAACTCACAGCAACCCTACAGACAGAGTAGAACTGTCCCTAGGCTTTCCAAGGCTGTCATCTTTACAGAAGCAGACTGCCACATCTTTCTCCAGTGGAGTGGTTGGTGGGTTCCAACCATCAACCTTTCACTTAGCAGCTGAGTTCTTAACCACTATACCACAAGCGATCCTAAAATGGCATTAAAAAAACAAAACAAAACAAAATAAAAACCACCCACTGCCATTGAGTTGGTTCCAATTCATAGTGACCCCCATTGGGTTTCTAAGGCTGTAAATCTTTATGGAGGTAGATTGTCTCATCTTCCTCCCACAGAGCAGCTGGTGGGTTTGAACTGCTGACCTTCTGGTTAGCGGCCAAATGCTTTATCCACAATGCCATCATAGCTCCTTAATGTAGCATAAGTGCCTATTAAATAAAGAGGATTCTGTGTCTAGGAAGCCCTTTGCCAGATCTCTGAGATGGGGGATTGCATTCTGGCCATGCCTCTTTCTACCACAAGACAGGTTCATGTCAGACCATTCAGGACCCCTGCTGGGGGGCCTAGCAGTTGCTAGCCCATTGCTTTTGAGGCAGGTAAAGGAGACTCCCAGCCATCAAGTCCCCAAAACCAGTTCTGTGGGAGTGAGCAATGGGAAGGAGGGCTCCTTGAAGGACACCTTAGCAAAGTGCCTCTTTCTCCATCCCTCCCCTCCTCTGCCCACCATTCCCTCTCCTCAAACTGGATTCCAGAGCATCACAGGGCTAAAAGTTTATGTGTTTTCAGCTCCCACTCCCCAGCCCAGACTGCGTTTCCAGGAGCTTCCACCACTCTGGCCTGGCTCCCGTGCCCTAATGAAGCCCCACCCTGCTGTGTTTCCCATTACTCCAAGGACTTTCACATCTCCTAGTGCTGATGTGTTTAGGGTTCCTCTGGGGGTTATTCAGCCTCAATGAGCCTCCTGCACTGCAAGCAGTGAGGGTTTCAGCTATTGCTATGGTCTCTTTTCTAATGAACCATAAGATCATGAAGATATTAACTCTACTAAACTTAAGACCTTACAGCCAAGGGGCCAATGCTATATACTATTTACATCCCTATAAAAAAAATCTTCCCTTTGCGCAGGATCCTAAGGATGGCTAATCTGTGGGGTACACACAGGGCCAGGCGGGCCCTCTGCCTCCTGGCTCCACACTTCAGGGAAAGCTCTTATGGAAGTCTTAGGAGGAGCAAATCACGTTTTCTTCACATTTTTGTCTACCCAAAGCAAACTGTGGAGTTTAACATTCTGAAGAATCCAGCCTGGTAGGTTAACATTGCTCAACAGTAGACTTGGGAGTCATGACTGGGATGGCAAGCTTGCCTTACATACCTCAGTAGGAAAGAATCTGATGGAGAATCAGAGATAGGAAAAAGAACTTAAAAGTTCATTAGAAATGGCATGAAACGAAACATATTCACAAACTCACTAGAGCAGGGAATGCAAGAGGCATTGAACATTTTGTTTAACAGAGCATGAGGAGTTCCTCAGAGATGACTGATAAAGGTCCAGCATCCAAGGCAAAGGCAAGACCCCCTCCTCTATGTCTACAGACGTACCTTGGCTGACCTGGTGATGGCCCCAATCTCTGAGTACAGATCAGAGCTGTCTGGGAAGTTTTCCACCACCATGGTGCACACGTGGTGGAGAAGCGACTGTTTGTGCACTGTGTCTTTGACTTCTGGAACCTTCTCGAGGTAGCTTAACTCAAACGCTTTGGCCTATTGGGTAAAAATACAATAAAAGACAGGAAAAACATGTTTTATGCAGGCCTTTAGAAAAGCACAGATCTATTGTTGGAGTAACCCAATATTTCGTTTTTCTGTGCTAGAAGCTCCTCGGGCCACATACTCCATTGTCCTCAGCTGCTCAGAAGGGGCTCAGCCACAGAGAATGAAATGAGCCTCCAGCCCTTTTATAACCAGCCACATCCTGGGAATCTACCCCTAAATCAGGGTGCTGTGGGTCTTGGCCACTGGGTGTCTACAGCTTCTTTCTCCCCTTGTCCTACTGCTTTTCTGCTTCCTGGCCAAAGTTATTCAGGCCAATTCAAAAGGTTTTTTTTTTTTTTTTTTTTT